ATGGATTGTGGTATGGCCATTTTCGGGACACCCTGAATAATAATGTTAAATAAAATAAGTTATTATGATTTTAAATAAACCGTCATCAAATTTCCACGTCAAATTTTCAGTCAAAATTTAAATTTGCCTGGAATATTTGTTTTTATGTTTATGAAACGTATTATTGTATTTTTGTATAACGATATAAATTGATGATGATTTCGATCTTTTTACAAATAATTGTAAATGAAGTAATAATCAGCAAATTCCTAATTATCAATTTCAATTTTATGCTAATTATAACGGGTGTATTTTAAAGCACAACATTTTAATTTTAAATGTTAAACAGTCTGCAATTTTGCGACAATTCAGCATATTTTACGAAGTACAGTTGACTCCTGTACACTTTATTTGATACTTTACTTTCAGTTTATCTAATCTATGGTATGAAGTCGATATACCTACTACTACAACTGGCGTGCCATTTTTTTCTGGCGTGTTATCATCCAAATGATTACATAAGGGCGTATCTCATATTTGATAATTGTACAGAGCATTTTAAAGATTGAGCATAATTAAACTATTTTTTGGAAAAAAATGTGCTTATTGGTAGGTATTAAATTTTAATTTACCTACGTAAAATTAGATAATAGTATAGGTATTATGTATCAAGTTTTATAAATGCCATTTTAGTTACGAGTTTTATTTGGCAAGCGAGTGTTTAATAAAAACGAGTGTCTAGAGAAGTTTATAAAACGAGTTGCATACTATACTTTATCTACGACTAATGTCAATTTTATTTGTTAAACATTTGACATCTGTCAAATTTCCACGAATTTAACATCACTTTTCCCCAATTTATAATAAATCTAACTTCGGCCCATGACTATAATGTCCAAAAGCTACTATTGCTAACTTCAGCCTGTGACTTAAACGCCATGAAGTCACATCTTGTCAATGTAGGAGTATACTCCTACATTGACAAGATGTATACAGTGTATACAATTATTTTTATATACAGTGTATACAATTATTTTTTACAGTGTATATATACACTGTAAAAAATAATTGTATACACTGTAAAAAATAATTGTAAAAATCTTTAAAATGCTCTATAAAATTGTTAAATATGAGATACCCCTTTTTGTGATAATTGAGACGATATTAGCGCCAGTAAATGTATGTGTGTGTAAATTTGTCTTTAGGAATTTGTTTCATTTACAAAGAACAATTTTTTCGCTCTAAAATTTGAAAATTTTCAATGCGATTTTGAAAAAATTCATTGTCATTTTTTTGTGCCAGGATCGTATAAATAGTTATTTGTTTTACAAGTGTTGAAAAGCGACTTTTTTCATGCGAGTTTTTAAGTTGGCCACGAGGCCGTTAGGCCGAGTGTGCATTAACACGAGCTTGAAGAAAGCTTTTCTCACAAGTATAACACAATGTTTTTTCTGCGACCCTTTTATTTTTTATTATTTTTAAATACAAAACAAAATAACCTAAAAACTTTTTTGACAGCTGAATGTCAAACGATGCTTTCCGGTTCTTTTCACACAGACCTGTCACTTTTCACACAGAAATGTGACTTTACATTCGTGTTTTGCCTTGCCAATGAAAAGATTCATTTTCTAAGCAACGATGCCATCATGAAAAGTGACTTTTACATAGTGGTCGTAGAAAAATAATATTTTAGGAAATTTAAATTTTGATTTTTAATAATAATTGATACAAAATTTTATATGAACAAAAATGATGAAAAACAACATCTAATTAATTAATTTTATTTTAAGAATCCAGCTTACGCATCCAAATATTTAAAATGGATGTTAAAAATGAGGTGGGCTAAAGTTTACACCTTAATTGGCTACTCGATGTTTGCTTCCGGACAAATGAAAGACGCATATTATATGTTTCGGACTGCTCTGAAATGTTATGGTATTTAACTAAGTAACTTGACAATTTTTGGGGACGATATTTAAAGCAACTATGTAATGTATATGACCTTAAATATTTTTATTTTAATTTATTAGTAATTAGTATTAGTAGAAAAGTGACTATAATATTTTTAGCTTTAGTCAAGAAGTACTTTTTTATTTGAATCGCTCTCCTAAAAAGTTGTTACGTTCTTAAGTATTTTCGACGGCTATATTACCCCATGTTAGCAGACTTTGAATACATGTTGTCATGTAATAAGTTGTCATCCCTTGGGGATGATAGTTTACGCCAAAGTAAGCAAGTTTTTCCTTTATCATTTTTTTATAAGTGTTGCTGTTTTTAAATAAAAAGCAACAGCTGACGACGATCGAAGTGTACAGAAGTTCTGGGAAAAAAACTGTTTCCCTTTTTTCCCTGGGCCTTCAATTCAAAATTATAATTAATGTTCAAAATATTGATCACGATAGTGTAGGTACTGCATTTTAGCGTGTATACACGCTAAAATGCAGTACCTACACTATCGTACAACAGTAGAGCAACACTCAAAAAATATATGCAAATCCCGATATTATATTTAAATATAATTATACATGCGTGATAATGTAAAAAAAATGCAATAAGTTTTAAGACATCAAAGTAGGATATGATTATCGATGACAACATGAATTTTCACACTGACACAATTGAATTTATAGTGACAATTAGTTTTAAGCTAATTAGTTATGCGTCAAAAGTAGGGATTGCAATTGCTGGATGTCTCATCCAGCAATCCAGCTGGATCCAGCGGTTTTTTCGGCCTGTAATTAATAATAATGGATATTCTATTAAATATTAATGAATTACTTTTAATTGTTATAGTCCTAAAATGTGTTAAATAATTTTTGTTAAAATAGATTACAATAAAATTCTGTTCTTCTGCTCTACTTTTATAGCCCCATTCTTATTAATTTTCATAATTATTATTATTTACCATTATAAAACTGATTTAAAGTACATACAAATGTTGTGAAATGTTAGTTTCAAAGTAAAGATAGTATTTTATTAAAATGAGCAAAAAACCACAATTTTTTTTATTCAAACATAACTAAAAAATAACTTTGTTGCTCTACTTTTTCCCGATAGTGTATATCGATGGTTATTTGACAAAACATCGTAACCGACAAAACCTAAAATTTTTTTGTGTGGGAGCTTTATTTTTAAAGTTATGTATCTGAAAATTGGTGAGGCATTATTTTATTAATGTAGAATTCAAATATTTAAGTTAGATCGAATCCAATCTAAAATTTTCATTAAATTATGTGACATACGATATTTTATAAGAACATCTTTAGGAAAATGTAAAATTATTGCTTAAGTCACATTTACCTTACTTTGTGGGATATAGATTTGATGATTACTTTATCTTTAGCGACATTTATTTTTTAACTTTTATTATTAAATAAAAAAAATTACAAAAGAAAATAATTTATAAAATATCACCGACGATATTTTGCCAAACAATGTTTGAAAATGAAAATATACGAGTACATTAGCTTTCTTTGAAAAAAACGAACGATTTTTATTCACAAACCAGTGGTACCATGATCTAACCGTTATAAATTTAAGTTAAATTATTTGACGCTAGAACAACATCCAATTACTACAAAAATATTTTTAACGAATCACACTATTCAAATATTTAAGTTAGATCGAATCCAATCTAAAATTTTCTTTATGTGGCATACGATATTTTATAAAAACATCTTTAGGAAAATGTAAAATTAGTCTTGTCGCTTAAGTTACATTTACGTTACTTTGTGGTATATAGATTAAATCAAATTTTGATGATTACTTTATCGTTAGCGACATTTATTTTTAATAGCTTTTATTAATAAATAAAAAAAATACAAAAAAAATAATTTATAAAATATCACCAACGATATTTTGCCAAAAAATGTTTGAAAATGAAAATATACATTTCTTTAAAAAAAAACAAACGATTTTTATTCACAAACCAGTATCTCACCCATGGTACCATGATCTAACCGTTATAAATTTGAGTCAAATTATTTGACGCTAGAACAACATACAATAACTTCAAAAACATTTTTAACGAACCACACTAGGTAACAACAATAATAATTAGGATAACTATTAATAATGCAATGAAAAAAAAATTATAATTTTTTGATTAAATAAAATATTATTTTAAAACTTAGTAGCAATCACCGCGATGCAGGTATACTCACAAATAAACTGTTTAGATCAAGGCGGCAGCAAAATATTATCGTAAGCGACACAATGTCAAATTGCAAACGCCATGTCTCGGAGTTGCTTACGATTATTTGTCGGGAACATATAGGCGCTTACGTTCTAAATCGGTAAAAAATTAAAAAGAAGAGGCGCTTACAATAATAAAAATATTCAAACTGACCAATATTAGATTCCAAAATTGGAATAACTATTATGTTAACATGTGCAGCTTATTGTAACTGACACTTTGATAAAATAAAAAGTAATTCAACAAAATTGTCGCTTACGATGTTTTGTCAAATAACCATCGATATGCCATAATAACAGTTCTTGACACTATTCATTAATGTCACAAAACAGATTGTTACTATTGCTGTAGTCAAAGTAATCCGTGATGTATTATTAGACATTGACCTTAAACACTTACACGTTATATATACCTATAGGAATCCGCTGTCGTGCCAAACAAATGCCATAAAACAATTACACACACAACAATGCAAAAGTAAAGATACCCCCAAGGGATGACAACTTATTACATGACACCCTGTATATATACAACAATATTCCAACAAAATTTTTTAAATTAAAATTTAACTGTACAAATATTTTTTGTTAGGTATAAACTTCCCTGTGAGAGGTTGCAGTCTTTCAATCCAAAGTTGTTGCGCAAATTTGACTCAACGTTGCAAATACTTTTTATGCCATGGTAATCTAAAATCACAAGAATCCGTTAATGCCACCTATTATGACGATGTTTCTGAATGTCTATTTTATTTTTCCAAACTACTTATTGTAAGCAATAATTCCAAACTACATTAATTTGAAGTATGAATTTCAAATAATATTTTTAGGGCATGGGTAAATGGAAGAAAGCACTACTGGCAGCAAATTGGGCTTTAAAAAAAGCTGTAAGCTCCTCAATGAGTTATGTTAGCTTATGCAAAGCTTATGGTAATCTAATTACAATTAATTCTTTTATTGGTAAAAAGTCATTTTCCGCGGCGCTGGAAACATACGCCTTACGAATGATACACTTTAAAAGATTCATTGTATTACCGGAAGAAGTTAAAGCCACCGGACAACTTTATTTGGCTATATTTAAGGGCAGGTAACATTATATTTTTAACTAAAATATTTATTTCTAAATTAACACATTCCTTTTTATCTTTTTAGAATGTTTAGATCGGAATTAATAAAGGCGTTGTCAATTGGATTTGTGACAAGCAATTTGGCGAACTCTAAATATTCCAATAACGTTTTAATGGAATTTTTTCCCATGTTTATTATAGTAATAATTTTTAGAAAACTATTAAATGAGGCCGTGTCGGTTTTGCAAGAGTTGGAATTTTATTCAACTGAACAAAGGGATATAAGGGGTTACTATAATGTAAATAAAGAATGCAATTATAATAAAATTATGTTTTAGGAAAATTAAAGTTTTATAATTGTTGCCTGGTTATGCAATTAGAAACATGTTATACAATAGTATCGATGAGAAGAGTTGAGGAGTTTTTTAAAACCGAAGGATTTGTTATTAATACGGAAGAACCCGACTCTGAAGTTAGAATTAGTGTGGTTATGTGGTTGTGGTAAAATCATATTTTAATACTTCTAAATTGCTAGCGCTTTAAGTGGAATTGTCTCTTTCTATCATACTAGGAGTCTTATGCGCATGTCTGAGAATTGAATTAAATGAATAGCAGAACGGGTTGACCTTCATTATTCCAAGGGCGTTCTGCTCTCCGTTGAATTTAATTTTCGGACATGTGCATAACACTAGACAGAAAGAGACATATCTTCAGCAAAATTTGCCCTGGAGAAGTGCACACATAGACTATCAAAACGTTTTTGTCCTTTTTTACGCCAGTGTTTCCAGATCACACTACAATTTCAAGTAGCATTATAATGACGAAAACTGATATAGCAACTTCAAATCAGGGACCCGGACCCAAATGAAATAACGGTTCCGGTCCGGTTCCGGTTCCGAGAGAAACGACTAATTTCGGTTCAGGTTCAGTTACGGTTCCAAAAAAAATATTTCTGTCCGGTCCGGACCAATCTTTTCGGTCCATACGGTTTTTTTCGGTTCCAATTTTTTTACTAGGTGTAAATAAGTACTTAAATTATAAGATGAAAAGTTTATTAATTTTTTTTTTTTGGCAAGTAATTAAATAAAGTATTACTTTGTCTCTTCTTATTTTTTAAATGAGGTTCTCTAATTTTAGGGCCTTCATTCTCTTCTTTATTTTTATTATCGATCGGCTGGCTTTCTTTATTTTTTTCTTCTGATCTTGTGATTGAGAAACTAGAAAATTTATAATTAAAATAAATTATATAAAAATAAAAAAACTAAACTTAGAGCTTTTGTTCTTCTTTTTGATGGGCAGGGTTAGTTGTTTTTCGTCTCATTTTAACCAAGTTTGAACATAGAGAATGGCTTAGAAAACCCCAAAGAAGCACATATAAAAGATGGTCGTTCATTTCTTACAAAATGGCGCGTCTTTCAATTACTTGTATGGACATTTTTCACATACTTCGATGCTGCCATCTGTAGGCAATTTCACTAACATGTCATTGACATGATGTTAGTCATAGTTGTTTTGCATTGTTGCCAAAATAATCAAAAATTATTTGGTTAAAAAAAAAAAAATTAAATTTTTGCAAAAAGAATTTAAGAAAAAAACCGAAAATAACCTAAAAAACCGTTTTAAATTTAAAGGGTTCCGGTTCGGTCTCTAGACTTGCATTTAAAAATAATATGGGTTCGGTTACGGTTCCGGTCCACAAATATATACCGGTTTCGGTCCGGTTTTCTGTCCAAAAACGGTCCGGTCCGGGTCCCTGCTTCAAATGAGTGGCATTTACCTTAAAATAGCTAAATATAGCACGATACAGTTGAAATATCTTCATATTATATTAGCATAGTTGTAATTATGTGATTGGCACCAGCAGAATATACTTTATCTACTCCTACATTGACAAGCTGTGACTTTATGGCGTTTTAGTCACAGGCTGAAGTTAACAACATTGTCTTTTGGGCGTTTTAGTGCTAAAGTAAGGTTTATTATAAATTGCGAAAAAGTGAGGTTAAATCAGAGACATAGAGGGGGGAGAAGGATCTTGGACCATTGCGCATCCAATTTTATGGCGACAGGTTCATGGCTGACATTTTGAACTAGATGTTGATAATATAGACTTCTCTATCTCTGATTGGCAAGCTTAATAAAAAATAAACAGATGAAGCCCCTGTCGCTTGTTATTAGTTTTATAAGCAGTGTTGCCGTTCGCGGTTATTTTACCCGAGAATCGATTTACATAATTATTATTATTCTATTCTGTTACCATTCTTCTTGATTAATACAAAATTAAATTCATTTGTCAAAATAGGGCCAATGCGCTAAAACTATTTTTTTACTCTTGTGAGTATAATCGGGTATTTTTTAATTTTTGGTCGTGAACTTTCGTGACAACACTGTTTATAAGTACATAACCTCATTGTTTTTAGAGGTTTAAAGGTCTATTAACAACCACCTAATTATCTGTTTTCTACACCGATATCTTTGGTTTAGTTGAATTTTTATATACTTGTAGTAAGGTTGTGTTTTTATATTGTGAAAATTTATGTAATATAAAATGTCTTGGGCTGTTAAAACGTGCAGAAACACCAACATTTTTGACCTCGCCTCGTATACGTGGTTCAAAATGGCGGCTATGAGTGTGTCCCCATTCGCGCACGTTAAAGCTCATTCTCCCCCCTCTATATCTCTGTGTTAAATTCGTCAAATGTCAAATATTTATTAATTAAAATTGGCTTTAAATTCTTATTTCTGTTCTTCGTAGATAAAGTATAGTATGCAACTTGTTTTTATAAACTTCTCCCAGGTAGCACAACGTGACAAACCGTGAGGATTTCTGTCCAATTGGACACAATGGACACAAATCGTCACGGTTTCGTCACGTTGTGCTACCTGGGCTCTAGACACTCGTTTTTACTAAACACTCGCTCGCAAGCTTCGCTTGTGCCTAATAAAACTCGTAACTAAAATAACGTTTATAAAACTTGATACATAATAATATTTCAGATACCAAAAAGTTATAAAATTATAATAGTATATTATATTATTATAGTTTTATAACTTTTTAGTATCTGAAATGTTATGACCACTTTTGACACCACCTTAAAGATGTCTAAACTTTAAAGTAGATTTTGAATAGTAGCGGCAACCAAACCACATCACCTAGGTATTACTTGGAAGTGGTAGTAGTAGTAAAGTGTGTATATTAATTTTATCATAGTTTTCGGAACTTTTCCCAAACCTTAAATGTGGCAAAACTTGATTATATAATTGCGGTGGTTATTTCACGTTCTTGCTACATGCTGTAGTGATTTCCACGTTTCGCATAGGATTATCACTTTAAAGTTCCCTTCTTCAAAAGCACACATGTTTACAAATATATTGTATGAAAATAAATGTGGTTAGTGGTTTAAGGTGACCAGAAATTTTTTTTTTTTTTTTTTTTTTTAATCAAAATGGCGGAAGTAGTAGACGTGAATTTCCTAAGCTCGACCTTAAAAAGGTTAAATAAGGATGAATTAATTCTCATAATAATGGAGAAAAGTGCAGTTATGAGTAGTGTAGTGAATATGTCAGAAAACACTCTGATTAAACTAAAAACAACGCTAAAAAATCACTTTGAATCAAACGAGAAGTCTCAAGGTGACGTGCAACAAAATCAAGGAAGCGTAAACGAACATCTATTGTCGAGAATGGTAAAACAATTAGAAGATAGAGTAGAGGAACAATCTAAGATGATAAAACACCTAATTGGCAGTGAAAACTCCGAAATAACAAATATTCCTTTAAATAAAAACAATGAAAATAAAGAAAAAAGGGTAAGAATCAAAAGTAGTTCAAATGTACCACAAAACAATACTGGAACTAAAATGGACGAACCTGTCAAAATAAACATAAAAGAGAAAAATGTAAAGAAAACAAACATTGAAGGGAGCGCAATTGTAGATGAAAATGAATTTCAAGCTGCACCAAAAAAGGCATGGCTTTATATTGGTAGAGCGCAACAAACCACTACAAAAGAAAAACTAGAAAACTATTTGGCCAAAAAAAATCCAAATACGGTTTTCGAAGTTGAGGAAATAAAAAAACATGCTACGAATAATAGCAAAAATAAATCTTTTAAGGTAGGTCTAGATTTTGATTTACTGGATGAAGTTTTAAAACCAGAATTTTGGCCAAAAAATCTCTTAGTTAAGAAGATTCAAATTTTTTCGAACCAATACAAACTCCGAACTTTAAGAGAAATCCAAAACTGCTTAACATAAATATACAGTCAATATTTAATAAAATTGATCAATTGGCATTGATAACTGCTGAAGAAAATTTTGATATTATATGCATTACTGAACATTGGTTATCTAACAGTCAAACAAGCACAATTAAACTCGAAAATTATAATATTATTAGTAGCTTTAATAGAACAATTTACAAACATGGGGGGGGTACTTATAGCAGTAAAAAATAAATGGTTCGCTAAGGAATTACATTTCATTAAAGAGGCATCAATTGAAAAACACTTGGAAATAGCTGGAATCTACATACCCAATATGAATTTAATAACTTTAAGTGTATACAGATTACCGGTGGGTGATTTAAATATCTTTATGGAAGAACTGGATAAGTTGCTAAACACACTCTTAAATAAATATAGTGATAAACAAATTATTTTAGCAGGTGACTTTAATGTTAACTTTTTAAACATTGATAGAGATTCAAATATGGTTTTAGAATTATTAGGAAGCTTCGGCCTAATAAAATTGTTTAATGAACCTTCAAGATTAAGTAAAACAACAAAAACATGTATAGACAACATCTTTATTAATAAAAAAAACGAAATAATTGCAAAAACAAAGGAACTCCATATTTCAGATCATTTAGGTCAGATCATATGCTTTCCAAATAATTGTAAACCTAAAACAGATATAAAAAAATTAAAAAGTAGAACTGTTAATGAACAAAATACATACCAAGTGAAAAATCATTTAAGGGAAATAGATTGGAAAAACTTTCTTGACAATAAAACAGCTGATAATGGTTTTAAAGCCTTTCACTTACTGTTACTGCAATATTTGGATGAATTCATGCCAGTAAAAGAAAGAAATATTAAAATGAGCCATAAAACTAAATGGAAAACAGAAAATATTATAAAAATGAAAAATGAACTCGATGCACTATATACCATAAAACAAGTTCAAAAGGATCAAGAATCAGAAAAAATGTACCACCATTATAAGGACCTATACAAAAAAGAAATACTAAATACAAGAAAACGTCAAACTGAAGATATAATAAATCATTCAAATAACAAACAAAAAACTATGTGGAGAATAATAAATAATGAAAAACCACAACCACAAAACTATAATACCAACCTGAAAGCAAATGAACTAAATTCTTTTTTTGTAGAAGTGGGAAAAAACATTTTCGAAGAAATTCCAGACACAAAATATTCAGCTATTAGTTTTGCTAAAGCTACTCAGTTGGATACAAAAAAGTCATTTTTTTTGTTTGATTGTA